TGTGTGTGTGTGTGTATCAGAGCTCTGGCCCTTGTTCACTATTTAATACATATAGTTAGTATGTGTGTATCAGCTCTGGCCCTTGCTCACTAACTAACATGTATTGTTAGTATGTATGTATGTGTATGTGCGTGTGTATCTCAGAGCTCTGGCCCTTGTTCACTAACACACACGTGTTGTTAGGCGATGTTGATCACATGCAGATTGCACAGCCGTCACTTCTATCCATTTCCTTGTTTAACGTAGAATTCATTTAATGTTGTTACTGGTTTTCTTGAGAATATTCATCAGCGGAACCTGTACAATTCATCACTTGCTTCAAGTACAGTTCCATGACATTGGTGATATTCTTCAAGTTAAGCAACTATTCACACCCGCCTTTCCTGAAGGTCCCCCCCTCCCCAATCAGCATGAACTCACGGCCCCCTGGCATTCCCACCTAATCTTCGGAGTTGCTGTTATTAATGTGGTCCCATGTAGGTAGCTCTTCAAAGAATGCTCTGCTCCAGACATGCCTCCAGGTGTTTTTCATCACCTTCATAGCTCTGCACCTCCCTCTCCCCAGCCCCAGGTAGCCACTAATAAACTCTTCTCCCCGTTTCATCTATGCGGGATCCCAGGATAGTCATCCTTTGGGTCTGTTTCACTCAGTGTAATGTTTTATTGGCTCTCAAATGTTGTAGCATGTATTGGGATTTCGTTTCTCCTTATGGCTCTATATGTATGGGGACAGCCACTTGGCTTGTCATCCACCTTCTGGCCAGTGTGACTAGTTCTGCTGTCGGTGTGCGTGCGTGTGCCTAAGGACGTGTTTGCATCCCTGCTTTCGTCTTTGGGGTGTAAACCTAGAAACAATTGCTGGGGCAGGGTTAGCTTGAAGAACCGCCAAACTCTTTGATCAACTTGTCTAGCTGCAAAAAAACGCCTGATGTGAAGTGTTTTGGGGTCACATTAAGTTTATCCATGAGCTTAGAGGGGCCCCGGCATCCATGTAACACCGAGTCTTTGTAAGAATAACAGTGACTAGCCTTTGCTTCTCCCCACAGGGCTCAAACTCCCAGATTTTCAGGATTCCATTTTTGAGTACTTCAACACTGCACCTCTTGCTCACGGCCTGACGTTTAGAGTAAGTAGTTGCACAAAGGTAACAAGTTTTTCTAAGTTGGAAATAACATGATACGATTTGACCACCCATGGGACCACAACCACACCAGCAAATGAATACCTCACAGCTCATCTCAAAGCCGTGCCAACCTGGCAGATAACTGTGTACAGTTAGGATATTTGAGGTGTTTGAAACGTTCTCAGAGTAACTTCTCAAACTAAGGAAGTGTGGAGGTTGATTTGACAATGAACCCAGCATCCTCTGGGGCCAAGCAGACCTTGGTCCCTGGTGGTGGGACAGGCATGCCAGCTGTTGATTGACATGTAGATTCTACTCTCTGTTGCACTGAGAATGACTCAGTTGGCTACAGGGGACTTGTACGTGGCTGTGCAGTTGGGTTTCAGCGATGGTGGACAGGACTCATTTCTAAGAGTGAGCCAGTGCCAGGCAACCTCGGCTTGGCATTGAGGTTAAAGGCCCCGTCTTCCTTAGGTCCTCCTCAAACAGTCCCAAATAGATCCGTCACCTAGGGTTTCACTGCATTCTCTCTCACACATGCCAGACAGCAACCAAACCAGTTGCCATTGCGTTGACACTGACTTATGGGAAGTCCATGTGTGTCAGAGTAGACCTGTGATCTATATATAATACAGGGTTTTCAGACGTAGATCATAAAACCTTTCTTCTGAGGTTTCCCTGGGTGAACTCAAACTTGATTCCTTTTAGTTATAGCTGAATCCGTTTACCATTTGTAGCACCTGGAGACTTCCCTTTACCTGTTGTTGATGTCAGGTGCCATAGAGTTGGTTCTATTTCACAGCATCCCCGTGCATAACAGATCCAAACCCTGCCCCGTCCTGCACTAGCCTCCCGATCATTGTTTTGTTTGAGCCCATTGTTGGAGGCACTGTGTCAGTCCATCTCATTAAGGCTCTTCCTCTTTTCGCTGACCCAAGGATCCGTCCTTCCTAATAACACAGCCGAAGTCTCGCCCTCCTTACTTCTAAGGAGCATTCCTACAGACTTGCAGTTTCCCCTCTCTGAGCTGTTTGAAAGTCCACTGCAGGTGTCAGTGACTCCAGAGTCCTCTAAGGTCAGGACCATTCTTCCCACAGCATAATCTCACTGTCAGGTGGTTGTTGTGAAGCGCCGTCGAGTCGGTTCCAGCTCATAGCAGCCCTGTAGAGACTTTCCAAGGAGCGGCTGGTGGGTTTGACTTGCCGACCCTATGCTTAGCAGTCTCCTGCTGACCTGGCAGCAGCACCCCAGGACTCCAGCACTGTCATCCATGTAAGGAATGTCTGCATTGATGCCCGAGTGGTACCCAGCCCCCCATGGCCCGAGCTGCCTTCCTCCCAGGTGGGGCTCAGCTCAGGATCATCGGGCATTTAGTTGTTGTGTCTCTTGAGCCTCTAACCTGGAACAGTGCCCCATGTGTCGCACTGCCCCTTTGGAGAGGAGCTACCTGTTGTCTGGCAGGACGTCCCACAACTCTGGGTTTGCCCATGTTGCCTCCCAAGTACATGCTGGTAAACAAACAGTAGTAAGAATTCTACATGACGGGGTGCCGGACTTTCCGTGCCCCGCTCAGGAGCCTCCTGTTGGTGTGTCCGTCTCCCTGGAGCTGCTGATCCTAAGTTTGAGCGTTAGGTTTGGGTGCTGCCCTCAGCCCTGTCCATTAGAAAGGGGCCCTTGCTGGGATTGCCAGGGGCTGATCACCCTCCCAGTGGTTTTAGTGTGCTCCAGTGACATCCGTGACTTAGAACCTGATTCTTCCTAATATTCTCGTCAAAGTGGTGCTCCTGCTCTTCCCAGACCTTCCTCCATGAGCCCTGCTATCCACGGTGAGGTAGAACCTCGCAAGGGCCCTGAGCCCATGGAGGGAGGGTGGCCCCTCTGTAAGCCGCAGAGCTCATGGCTGCCAGCTTAGCGTCCTCCACTCACTGGGCAGTGGGCCATAGTCCTCCCTCACTGGTTTGCAGCACCCCTCAGGGATTTGAGTCGGAAGGTTGTTTACTGTTGACAGACAAAATCCTCAGTCAGACTTGGAGTGGATGCTGGGAGGTGTTTGCAGGCACTGTGGACTACATTTGATAAATGTCTGTCAAACGTCTGTCCCACTTCCCCGTGTTAAATGCGCTAACTCTAAATACAAATGCTTTGCCACAAAGGTGGAATTACTATGTCTTCATGCACATTTTCACCGGGTGGAAATGACTGTTTTTGTCTCTTGTCTGTCACACAAGGACTCTCTGTCCTCTTTGTCCACGTCTTCTCTGCTAGCCTTGTGGGAAGAAGTAAGTTCGCACCGAAGCTGAGCGCCCAGAAGCCCCCTCCCCATCTGGGTGGACTTAGTTCATCTGCATCCTTTTGATTAAGTCATTAAATGAAACTAGCAGAACTTTTTACATGACTAAAAGTTAACCTCCTGCCCTTTTTGTGCTCTTCATTTATCGAAAAGATGGAATTCTAACTCATCTAATAGACCACGTTTGGGGGGAAATATGCTTATGCATTGAGCTTTGATAACTGGCTAATCGATCTGCCTTTCTCTTGAGTCTTTGTGTACAAAAGCAGACACTGCAGTCAGAGTCAGAAAACGGGGCCATGGCAACTTGTTTTCACTTTGCTGTACCCTCACTCACAGCTGACAGTGAGCTTTTACATGGCGAACCGAGAGTGCCCAGGGCCTGGGCTACACCTGCCCTGCCCTAGATCCGCCTCTGAATGTGGTTCTTGGTCCACAGGTGTTGTGTCCTATGTGCCTGCCCCATCTTACCACCTGGCACCCCTCACTTGGCAACTGTTGAGTTACACCTGTTGGGAAGCAGGTGTCTGATTGGTTCATGGAGTTTCCAATGGTGACACCACCTTTCAGGTGCTTCCAGATGCCTCCTCCCCAGCTCCTCCTCTGTAGGAGCTGCCAAAAGTGGCACTATGGGTTAGGCATTGGGCCGCCAACCACAAGGTTGTCGGTTCCACTTCCCCAGCTGCTCCTCAGAAGAAGGAATGAGACTGTCTCGGATTTACAGTCTCGGACACCCTATGCAGGGTCACTGTGAGTTGGAATCCATTAGACAGCAGTGAGCAGAGCACACACATTTGGACGCGTGCACCTATGAGACTATTAGTAACCGCTTGGGGTGATGAGAACAGGGTTATTCGGAGTTGTATAAAATAAGGTCGTTCTAAAAGTCGGTTTCGAATGTAAATAAGGCGACAAGTAGCCCAGTCCTAAACTCACATGGAAATCTTGAGCTGGGAGAACAGAGCACAGCCTGGCTTCTCTGTGAAACGCCCCCTTCCTGGGCTGTGATGAGCCCACACCTCCATTGTTCATGGTAGTGTGTGTCCTCCTCCCAGTCCCTGCAGGGAGGTTGGAGGCCTGGCTAGTTTACCGCCAGGTGTAGACAAAATTACTTGTGAATGTGGGGCTTCTGGATTTGGTGCTGAGCGAATTGTCAGGCCCCAGAACCTGCAGGGCAAGGCTCTGGGAAGGCTGGGCGGGAAGGCAAGTACGGAGCAGCCAGAGCTCCGGGCCCCAGTGGAGGTGGAGTAAACCTGGTCTGTGAAGAACCCTCGGTGCGTACCTGGGTCCTACAGCAAACCCTCAGCTCTGCTCCTGCTGTGTTCACAGACGGGCTCAGCCAGCGAGCAGGAAGCCCACACACCAAAGCTGGAAGTGTCACCGTCTGCGTCGGCGTCCACAGGCATGGACCAACAGGAGGTAAGACCCCCATTCCCTGTGGCTAGCTCATAGCCAGAACTTTTCCCTGGGCCTCATGTCCTGCTTCTCAGGAAGGTGAGGGGAGGTGGGTGCCCTCACACGTGTCTCCATGTGTAGTTCATTAAAGCTGCGGAACTGCGCATTAGTGGGAGCTTCTTTCTAGCTAGTAGGATAGCACTCACCTGTCCCTGCTTGCCTCTCAGGACGCAGCTCGTACCCTACAGAGGCCGGCCACGATGCCACTGCCCACCACGCCCACCCTCGCCCTGGCTGGACCCAAGGTAGGCCTTGTCCTGTGCACTCACTCTATGCCGCCTTCGTTCTGGAAGACAGCCGTGTAAACAGACAACTTAACACTCTTGTGCCGGTGTGGTGTGTTCTTCCTGCTCCAACCCTCTCCCTACCTTTGTGGAACCCACTTCGGGTTATGTCTCTATTCAGCTCCTCACACATGGCCCTTGTTATGCCCTGGGTTGTACCCACATGGAATGAACGTGCTATGCGGCTTTGTGGCCTGTGTTGTGAACCATTCCAGTCAACACGTGAGGTTCAAGCCTGCTCTTGAACCTCTAGTGTATATGTCCTGCGCAGTCTTAGCAGGCTCGTGGCCACATGTGCACCCGCTCCTTTTCAGGGTAAACCATTAACAGCCGGGCAGCTGACACTGAGTCTGGGAGTTATTTGAAACTAACTTGGGGCTGGACTTGGGGATTTGGAATCTTGCAGTTGGGTAGCCAGCTAGTGTTTCATTTTATGTGACAAGGGGTCCCTGAGAGTCAGGGACTGTGGGTATGAACTATCTGCTCTCCAGACTCGTTCTTACGCTGATGGTCCCACTGGGGCTGGGCCTCCCTGATTACCCTGCTTTGCCCCACTTCCGTTGGAGTTTGCCACACATGCTGTCGTTCGTAGCCAGCACGTTGTTTTCCCCTCAGTCTCCCATCCGTCCCTGTGGGGTCAGCTGCCACAGACACTGGGGGCCCCTTGGTCAGCGCTGCTTTGGAACACGCATGCCTACTGGTGGTGTTGCACCAGGCGGGGCTCCCAGGTGGAGCTCATCTTGCTGCTCTTGTTCCAGCCCAAAGCGCACCAGTTCAGCATCAAGTCCTTCTCCAGCCCCACTCAGTGCAGCCATTGTACCTCGCTGATGGTCGGACTCATCCGGCAGGGCTACGCCTGTGAGGGTGAGTGATGGCTCCCGCCCACCACAGCCACTCAGAAGCTCCGGGGCCCACAGTGACTCGTGTTTACAGCCGCGCAGTCGGGCTGTGGGGTGGGCCCCATCAGGTCCTGGAGAACTCAGAACTCTATCTTGTGGACTCCTAGAGCCACCATAGCTGTTCTCTGTGGGCTCTGTGGGTCACCGCCATCCTGCTCAGGTGGGGGGCTTATGGCCCTGCACTGTCCATGGGGTCGATGGGGTGGGATCCCATCGCTGGCTCTGCGCACACTTTTTCTGCTGTTGTCCCTGGGAACACACTGACTCCTGGTTGTCATCAATGTACAACCGCCCTGAGACTGACCGCAGTGGCAGCTCTGCTCCTCAGAGCGAGTTCGCACTTACTTGCTGTGTGTCTGTCTCTCCACGCCTGCACAAGTCTAGGCTGCCCCTGCACAGCTCCCGCAGGGACTCTGCAGCCTCGGGAGCGGGTCTCACGTGGCTGCTCCTCTCCTCAGTGTGCTCGTTTGCCTGCCATGTGGCCTGCAAGGACAGCGCCCCCCAGGTGTGCCCCATCCCTCTTGAGCAGTCCAAGCGGCCCCTCGGGGTGGATGTGCAGCGAGGCATTGGGACCGCCTACAAAGGCTACGTCAAGGTAGGGGCATGTGAGCAGCCACTTCCCTCTGCCAGGCACTAGGCACCTTCCCATGTTGTGCTCAGTCCCCAGGGGCATGATGGGCCCACAGACACGCCCAGACTGTACTAGACTCCTAGGTCCTGGGGCCCCCACACACTAGACTTCCTGTGTCCCACAGACCCTCACTTAGGCTCCCAGGCCCATAGGATCCTGGACCCCCAGATCAATACTAGACTCCCTGAACCCAGACCCATAGAACCACACTAGGCTTCCTGGGCCCCGCAGACCCTCAGACCCGTACTAGACTCCCTAGGTCCCACAAACCCCCAGCCCCACACTAGGCTCATGCATTGTGTGAGCTTCGCCAGTTCTGTGCACACCACGTGTTGTGTGTGCCACACCCGCCATGTTCGAGTCTTCCCCTCCCCTGTAGCCCTGCTTGTTGGGCGTGGAGCCCACCGCACAGGCCTGGCAGAGGGTGAAGGCACAGTCCCTGAGGAACGCAGTGGCACAGCCCGGTGCAGGCTGCTGTGGGTGCTCTGAGGGCCCACTACCAGGCGCTATCTGAGGCCTCGCTGCCCTCTGAAATGTGTCTCATGTGCAGATCCCCAAGCCCACCGGGGTGAAGAAGGGGTGGCAGCGGGCCTACGCGGTAGTCTGTGACTGCAAGCTTTTCCTGTACGACCTGCCCGAGGGAAAGTCCACGCAGCCCGGCGTGGTCGCCAGCCAGGTCCTAGACCTCAGGTTTGTTGCTCACAGCCGTATGAGTGTGTATGTGTGCAAGTGTGTGTGTGTGTTATATGTTTCATCAGAGTGAGAATTGGGTGCTTTGGAAATCTTTTGCTCCGTTCATGCCTTCACACCCTTAATTAGTGCACAGTTCCAAGGTCAGGCTAGCGCTTAGCTGTGAAGCACACACCGAGAGGAACTTTGCTGCTCTGGATAGTTTTGGGTTAAAAGTGTGCCACGTGGACATTCATACAGAAAGGTATGCCGAGACCAAGCATACAGTCCTCCCCAGGAGCTGGACAGGCCCAAACCCCTTTGTTCCGGGAGGCCCCCACCATTAAGCCACAAGGTCAATCTTTCCTGCCCACCCCTCATAAGTTAGCCCCTGTGCCCTCAGTTTCCCCCTTTGTAAAGCAGGGCAACAGCAGCATTATGGTACAGGATCATTGTGGTGATTAAGCTGCCGCACCCCCTTGTCCTCACCTTACAACACGGGTCCCTCTCTCCCAGCGACAGGCAGCCAACACTACTGGCCTTTGCTCTGGGTCAGGACCTGCCTAGCACCTGACAAGTCTCCAGCCTTGGTTCCTGAGGGTACAGTTGAGAGCAGCTTCCAACACACAGACGTGTTGGATTCATGTGGACAGAACAGCATGTTCCCCTCAAGTGTTCCTGCTCCTGTAGCACACACACACACACACACACCAGGGCACACTGTGCATGCCCCAGCCTAGTGGCCTAAGTAGGCATCGCAGGGCACGCAGCTCGGAGCCGTCCCTGCATCACATCAGACGGGGGCCTGAGCAGATGCCATCACACTGAGACGCCTGGAGTGCCGAGCAAGTTAGAGAGTCCTTTCCTGAGTGGAGACAGGCTTGTCCAGCTGCTCCGAGCACAGGCTGGGTCTGAACATGTTTGTAGCTGGGGTGACGTGGGGCAGTGTGAGACAAAGCCCCTACTCTCTAGCACCCCTAACTGTTCCACCACTGGGGGGCTCTCAAGTCGTTGGCTTCTTGGTGTTAGTCAGTGTCAGTGTGTTCTCACCTAGGTGGAGGTGGGGCCCAGCTCCTCTGCTGGAAGGTCAAGTTTGCAGTGTGCAAGGTGTGTGAGTGTGGGTGTTCACGTGTGACTGTGTTTGACAGGGTGTGAGTCTGTGCTTGTGTGAATGTGTGGGTGTGTGTGCATGGTGAGTGTATGACGGTAGGACGTGTGCATGATGGGGTGAGCATATGTCTCTGCATGTACATGTGTGTGTGTGAGGGTAGGGTGTGTAGGTCCATGTCTGTTGGGGAGGGGGGTCAATGTCTGTGTGTGTGTGAGGGTAAGGTGTGTGGGTCCATGTCTGGGGGGGGCGTCCATGTCTGTCTGTGTGTGTGTGTGGGTACATGTCTGTGTGTGAGGGTAGGGTGTGTGGCTGACAGGCTGTCAGTGGGGGTCCATGTCTGAGGGTGTGTTTGGGGGGTCCCATGTCTGTGTGTGTGTGAGGGTAGGGTGTGTGTGTGTACATGTATATCTGTGTGTGTGTACGTGTCACTGTGATCACATGTTCCCTCCCAGCCGCCCTAAACGTCTCCTCTCTCAGCAGGGATGACGATTTCTCCGTGAGCTCCGTCCTGGCTTCAGATGTCATACATGCCACACGCCGAGATATTCCTTGTATATTCAGGGTAGGGTTTTTCTCATTTTTCCTTTTTTTTCTGAGATCGTCTCCTTAATTGTTTAGTCACATGATTAAGGTAAAGCAGTTCTCCTAAGTGCTTCATGGTGTCCTGGGATGCGAGAGTTTGGGCCAAAACACCTGGTCATCCTGCTGCACGCAGCCGCCTCCACAAAGCCTCAGCCTCCTTGGGGGGCCCACCGCCCCCTGCTCCTAAAACCCCGTCCTGGTCTGTGCTCTTAGCTTTGGAGGAAACACGCCCGGGCCTGGCCAAGTGCCGACCGGAGCAGGACCAGCTGAGACCCTGTGGCTGAGGGTGTGGGTCAGGTGGAGACGCCTTCAGCACCTCCATGGGAACTAGAATAAAACGATGACATTTTGTAGGACACCATCGGTCAGGATTTTCAGGAAGTGCCTCAGGACCCACCCCCAACCCCCGGGACACAGTTTGCCAGTGATTTTGTTTGCATCCAGTTTTTCCTGGGCGCAATCTGAGGTCATTCCATAAAGAAACCTAAAGTGGACTGCCAGAACACAAGTTGGACATGGGGTCGGTCCAGAACCTCTGCTGTGTGTTGACCAGGGTCCACTGGACTGTGCAGGGCTGTGGCAGTTGCCTGTCACGTGTGGTTGTCTCATGGCTGTCCCCTCTTCTGTCTGTTTTGTTTCCCGCTATCAAGGTGACGACCTCTCTCTTAGGTGCACCTTCTAAGACCAGCTCCCTACTCATTCTGACAGAAAACGAGAACGAAAAGAGGAAATGGGTGGGCATTCTAGAAGGCCTCCAGTCCATCCTCCACAAAAACAGGCTGAGGAACCAGGTTGTGCACGTGCCTCAGGAGGCGTATGACAGCTCGCTGCCCCTCATCAAGGCCGTCCTAGCGGCAGCCATTGTGGGTACGTGTGGGCACCACCAAGAGGCCTCCTCACTCCCGGGTTTGGAGGACGGTGCTGCGTCCTCTCATTGTGGAGACCCCGGGCAGTACTAACCGGAAGGTTAGCAGTTCAAGTCCACCCAGAGTCCGAAGGGACTGGTGATCTTCCAGAAATTATTCATGAGAACCCTATGGAGCACAGTTCTACTCTGACACCCGTGGGAGCCATCTGTTGGGGTCGTCTGTTGACTGCGTTTGTCCGTGCTCCGCTGCTGGTGTTCTTTATGGTGACTCTGGTTCCTTCTGCTTCTGCCCTCAGATGGAGATAAGATTGCGGTGGGCTTGGAGGAGGGGCTCTACGTCATAGAGCTGAACCGCGACGGTGAGTGAGCAGGGTTCAGTTCTGATGAGCATGGGAGAAACTGCTGAGGTTTCCACCTGAGACACTTGTGCCCTCAGCTTATCTGTCACTGAAGCCACCGCGTCAGAGAAATCCAGACATGAAGGGAGAGGCAGGTTGCTGATGAAACAGCTCAGCACGAATAGCAGAGGGGTGGGTGCTCTGGGTGAGGGCAGCAGGAGGGAGCTCAGCACAAGGGTGCTGTTACTCCTCCCCAGCGCATGCCCCATCTGCCTCCCAGCCTGAGTCCCATTGAGGCCAGGTGTGGTCAGAAGGATGAAACCTGGTACAGGGTCCTGGTCACTAGGGGCCAAGGAGCAGGTGCTTTCAAAGAGCCACCCCTCCCCCAGGTATGGCAGTCTGAGGGTCCCCAGCTGAGGCATGAGTAGACGGAGCCCAGGTCCACCCCACCTGAGACAGGGAGGCCTGAGACAGAAAATCAGGGCAGCCTCCTGTCAGCTTCATTGGGACCGCACACCCACTCACCCCAGGCCACCCTGCCGGGGACCATCTGGGCCCACGAGAGGGTTAGGGTAGGAGCGGGAGCAGATGGCACCGTGGCCCCCGTCTTGTGGTGGGAAAGACAGAGGGGTGGGGCGGGCGGCTCCATCATCGCCATGCCCTCCCAACAGTGATCGTCCGAGCTGCTGATTGCAAGAAGGTGCACCAGATTGCACTCGCGCCTCGAGAGAAAATCGTGATCCTCCTGTGCGGCCGGAACCACCACATCCACCTCTACCCGTGGTCAGCCTTGGAGGGGGCCGAGGGCAGCTTCGACATCAAGCTTCCAGAAACGAAAGGCTGTCAGCTGATCGCCACGGCGACGCTGAAGAAGAACCCGGCCACTTGCCTGTTTGTGGCCGTGAAGAGGCTGGTGTTCTGTTACGAACTGCACAGAACTAAACCTTTCCACCGGAAGCTGGGCGAGCTGGCAGCCCCCGGCCCTGTTCAGTGGATGGCCATGCTTGGGGACCGGCTGTGTGTGGGCTACCCATCGGGATTTGCCCTGCTGAGCATGCAGGGTGACGGGCACACCCTCAGCCTGATCAATCCCGCAGACCCCTCGCTGGCCTTCCTCTCTCAGCAGTCCTTTGATGCCCTCTGTGCTGTGGCGGTCAAGGGCGAGGAGTACCTACTGTGCTTCAGCCACATGGGGCTGTACGTGGACCCACAGGGCCGGCGCTCTCGTCTGCAGGAGCTCATGTGGCCAGCGGCCCCTGTTGCCTGTAGTATGTATCTATATGTTTTCTGTTCTCCTGGGGCGTTCTCCAGTCCCTGGCCCAGGGGCCACTGAGCTGCCCAGGTGGCCCCTGGTTTTTGCAGGGGGGCATGGAGACCTGAGCAGCTGAGGTGCTGCCTCCTGGGAACTCGAGGCTCTTTCTTGAAGCCTTCGCAGGCGTCCCCTCAGCAGAGGACCCTGTGGTGGCAGCTGGCCTCCTCGGGCAGGATGGAGGTGTCAGGAAGGCAGGACCTGCGTTGTCTTTCTTACAAGGCATTCTTCGAGGTGATGCGTTAATTCACATAGTCCTAATGCATTCAAGGGTTCTGGCAGGAAAGATCCCAGCTCCTCAGCTCATTCATCGCCCCTGGACATGTGTGTCCTGGAGCTGCCCAGTGGCATCTGCTGGCTTTGGTGGTTTTGTGAATCTTGGCTCTGGGTGATGTCTACTTGGAAACTTGCTGAAGGGCCCCCAGAGTAGGTAGGAGACAAGGGGGCGTCTGGAGCCAGTGCAGTGGGCAGGCGTTCCATCACTGCTGATTGCTGCTTCGGGGCCTGTGCCCGCAACGCCAACAGGCCGGACAGAGGCCAAGTGCCCACTGGGTTGGAATAGAGGGAAAGGGAAGGATTGTTGTTGTTAATGACGTAAACTGAGAGTGTGTCTGTTTTGCTGTGGGCCGTCCAAGGTTGGCAGTGTCAGGGGCCCTCCTGGTGTGTCTTGTGCTGCGTGTGGCTCCTCAGGATCACCACACTCCCCTTGCTGTCCCTTCACCTTCCTCGCCACACGGCCACATGCAGGTCCAGCTCCTCCTCAGGGTCTCTTGCTCCAGAGCATTGTTCTGAAATGGATGTTGTGAAATGAACTGAGCAGGAAGACTTCTCCTGGCCATCAGCTCTTTAGCACAAACACTGGCCATTCCCCTCTGCCCCCAGTGATCAGAGCACCTGTGGGTGCCCACTTCCCAAAACAGAACTCACCACGGGGAACTTACAGGAGAACTGCGAGGCCTTGTCCCTCCGGGTCCCAAGCCCTGTGCTGGCTTCTGACGTCCACCAACTGTCCCTGCTTACCATAGGGTTCCCAGTCCCATGTTGCAGACAAGGAAACAGGTTCACAGAGGCTGTCAGACCTTGAGAAATCACACAGCAAAGTGAGGGTCAGACTCGTGTCTGTCAGACTCCGCAGCTGTGTTCGTCCCACGATAACACATTTCAGGTTATCAATTTATCAAGTCACACACAGAATTTTCTCTAGTGCATTTGGGATCAGCTAGCTTACCGGTACCTTATACACCTGGCCCTCAAACCTGGCCTCTGAGATGCTCTCAAAACGTTACATCTGTGTCAGAGGACCCGTTCCCACATCTTTTCACCCTGGGTGTGGCTCTACAGGCTAATGCGCTGGACTGCAAGATCACTTTGAACTACAAGGTCAGCAGTTCAAGATTACCAGCCGCTCCTCAGAAACCCTATACAGGGATGCTATGAGTTGGCACCAACTCAACAGCACTTAACAACACAAATTGTCTTCATATTCAGAGAAGGCTGTGGAGGTGGCCAGTGTAGGTTCGGTAAGAGAAACCTGGTACTATGGAGATGCCTTTTCAGAATTCAGCTTCAACCACTGAACTGGGAGGTAGAAGGCCCAGGGCCTTGGCTGCTGGGAGACCCCCGTCCCAGCTGTGTGTCTCCATGTGGTCTGGGGAGTCGCCTTCCTCCACTGTGTCAGGTGTCTTCCTGCTGGTCTAAAGGAGGAACCCTTGGCCATCTGCAGTCTCTCGGGGCCCATTACCTGCAGTGGACACGGAAAAGGCCACACCCAGGAAGACCAGAGTGTCTTCCTTCCCTCGTGTCTCGCCGCCTCAGGAGACCTGAAACAATCCTCAGGTCTGGCCAGAGCCCCCACCCCCACAGTGAGGGAGGTAGAGTGTCCCCAGTGCCCACCTGGAACCTGACCATTGTATCTTTTGCAAGTCACACATAGGAAAACCAAACAGAAAAGGTCACCTTCAGCCTCCAGTATAATCTGCAAAGGGGCTCTGAAACATTCTGAAGGAACCATGACCTGATAGTAACCCCAGAGTTGGGGCAGGAAACAGCATGTGAGCTCACCCGCTCGCTCTCTGAGGTGCGCCTGTCCATCACCACTAGGTTGCAGCTCCTCCTACGTCACCGTGTACAGCGAGTATGGTGTGGACGTCTTTGATGTGAACACCATGGAGTGGGTACAGACCATCGGCCTGCGGCGGGTAAGGCTGGGGGGTGGGGCCAGCCCCTTCCCTCCCAGGACACTGCCCCTTGGGCTGCTGCATCACCGTGTGCCTTCCCCCAGATCCGACCTCTGAACCCCGAGGGCAGCCTCAACTTCCTCAACTGCGAGCCCCCCCGCCTCATCTACTTCAAAAGCAAATTCTCAGGTAAGCCCTGCCCAGTGGGCAGTGGGGCTTCCTGGTGACCTGGGCCCGTGGTCACCCTGGGTCTGCTTTCCCACAGGCACGGTTCTGAATGTGCCCGACACCTCCGACAACAGCAAGAAGCAGCTGTTGCGTACCCGAAGCAAGCGGTGGTTCGTGTTCAAGGTCCCCGAAGAGGAACGGCTGCAGCAGAGGCGGTAGGTAACGGGCAGTGGGCGGGGGGGCCCAGGGCAGAGCTGGGGGAGGCTCCTGCACAGAGTTTCAGAGCCCTTCCCGGTTCCCCAGAGAGATGCTTCGAGACCCAGAGCTGAGATCCAAGATGATCTCCAACCCGACCAACTTCAACCATGTGGCCCACATGGGGCCAGGCGATGGCATGCAGGTGCTTATGGACCTGCCACTGGTGAGTGTAGCCCGGGGATGCCGGCCTGGCCTGCACATCTGTCTGTCAGGTGGTCAGCCTGGGTGGGTCCTCACAGTGCTGTTATCTCAGCCCCAGAGCTCGCTGCCATCCACACAGGAGGAGCGGCCCAGCCCCGCACCTGTCACCCAGACCCGGCCGCCGGTGCCCAGGAACAAGCCGTACATCTCGTGGCCCTCCTCAGGTACAGTGAGGGCCCGCTAGCGCCATACTGGGTGGGAGGCCAGGCCCCAGCCCAGGTGAGGGCTGGAGCTGTGGTCCCACCTGAGAAGGCCTCGTTCTGCAGGCGGGTCAGAGCCAGGGGTAGCTGTACCGCTCAGGAGTATGTCCGATCCTGACCAGGACTTCGACAAAGAGGTGAGACCCGCCTCAGCCCGGGAGCAGCGGGGTCCAGTAAGAGGCTGTGCGCATGTGCATGTGCCTGGGAGGGAGGGGTCAGCCTAAGCTCATCTCTGGAGTGGACACTCGCTGTCCACTGAACTCCTTCCCTCCCAGGCCCTCTGCTTGGTCCCCCTGTGCCCAGGTCCTGTGCTGTGGACTTTGGGGCCTGGCAGAGCTGGTCTCCTGGTTCTTCCTCAACAGTTTCTTAGCTGAATTTCCCTTCCTTCCTCAGGTAAACTGTAAAGCTAGCTTGTTAGTTCCATAATCAAAAAGTATCAGTCCTTTTGAGATTGGGAAATTGAGCTGAATTTACCCGGAGTGTTCACCATCTCTACCTTCCTGCCCAGGAACTTTGCGCATCCCCCCACAAGGCTGCGGAGTGTGCAGGACTTTTGTTTCTGGTCCTGCTGTTGTTAGAATCGAACGCGGACGAGTCTCTCTGCAGGCTGCCAACGTGGCCTGTTGTGTCAGCTAATGGCCTTGGGTGTCATAGGTGCTTGGTTGACTGTTAGATCTCTTTGACCATGTGAGTATGTATGTTGGGTGCCTGTGAATGTGTGTACAATATACATGCGTGGTGTGTATACAGGCTTGTAAGTTAGCACCCATAGTGTATGCACAAGAATGCATACATGTTAACAATGGCTGTACATGTGTGTGCCTCTGACTCTGTGTGGTGGTGTGTGTGTGAGTTTGCATCTAGACTTCGTTAATTGGCTCCTTAGAACAACCCCTCTTCGGCTATGACGCCTCTGCTCAGTACATTGTGGGTTCAGTGTGTAAATGTGTTAGTAATTTCTGATCTGCGTTTGCCAGCTACATTGTCACATCTCGGGTGGGTTGGTGTGCCAGGGTCCTGTTGGCCCCAAGCACTGAGTCAGGAAGTGTTGCCTCTCCTAGTAGCTGTGACCTGGGGCGTCTGTGTGTTTGAGCCTCAGGACCCTCCCCTTATAGGCTGCTCGTTGTGTCCCCACCTCTTTTCCTTCAACTTTATGAATGTTTTAAATCTTCAGAAAAGTTGTAAAACTAGCAGTGTGGGGTGATGGAGAACTCTGAAAGCAGAGATTGTGTTTTAAGAATGGTGTATCATGTGCCGTCCGTCGAGTCAGTTCCGACTCTGACTCTGTAAATGATTTCCAAGGAGCCACACCAGGACTCCACTGGGGAGGGTAGATGGGCAGGGTAGTGTGAGACACTCTCCAACCTTCTCTCCCAGAGTGCTCTACTACCTACCGGGTAGTTCATTGCAGTGGCCACACAGAACTCAACAGACAGTACAATTGTGGGGTTTATTAGAGAAGTTATGAGGTGAAGTTCTGGATCCGAAATGTTCAGGATACGGTTCTTCCAGTCAGGAGCACCTCTTCAGCCGCGCCCGCAGCCTGCCTCTGGTCTGTGGCATCTCAGTCTTGTGAACCCCTCGGCCTGTGCACTCCTCAGGCATCCTTACAAAGCGCTGTAAGGCTGCCCAGAGGGGATCCAGAGGGCACGCCACTCCCCCGTAGGCCTCAGCCTGAAGGCGCTCAGCTTGAGCTCCCCGATGAAGTGCCCACCCCACGCCCACACAGAAGGTGACTTGTTCTGTGGGCCAGGAAGCCCCCCACCACACCACGTCTCATGCTCTGAGTATGGCGGCCTCTTCTCTGCTTCACAGCCCTGTCAGGAACCTCGAGGTCAGAAGAGACTAACTCCACTCCCTGCTCCTCTCTTTTGATGGCACTGAGATCCCCAGCCCTACTTCTGAGGGGGCTTATTTTATCCCCGTCAGGATGGCACATTCCCTATGTTTGAGTTCCACCCAGTCACTTGATGGGAGTCACAAAGACTGGGGCTAGAAGAGGCCCCACCCCTCATGGTGAATGGGATCAGCGTCCCGACACTGAAAAATGGTTACAGTGACCCAATGTTTTATGTTCTTACCACAATGTTTTTCAAAAGTGTAGTCAAGAGAACAGCTCGCGCACGCACGCTTTCATCTGGGAGAACTGTGTAAGTCTGTGTGTCCCAATCTCAGGTCCTCACACACTCCCTTGAGGTCTCCTTCAAACACGGGCCACCAGCAACTCACAGCAACCAACAGGTCAGGTCTGCTGAGCCAGTGACATTGCTCAGAGCTGCCAGGACAGGCCTCCCCCGCCATCTGCCCACAGCGGGCAGCACCTATTCTCCCCAGGGACAGGTGTCTGTGTGAACTTGTGCACGTTAGGACACTACACGCACCATGGGAAGGGACAGGATTTTCTCTTGGGAAGCAGAGTGCAGAGTTGAAGCTGAGCAGCTTACCGTTATATCAACCTGTGTGCATCCCAGTGCCTTTCAAGAAACATTCCTTCTCTAGGACAGCAGCCAGCCATGGCCGCACATTGCCCTTGGGAAGTCACTGAGCCTAAAGTGGGGTTGGAGCAGGATTCTATTTATGGTGCTTCTCAGTGCCATGCCCAGGCATCCCAGGGTGTCCTGAGCGGGTCCTTCCTGCCGGCATGCACACTTACCTGCCCCTTCTTGTGTTAACAGCCTGATTCGGATTCCACCAAACACTCGACCCCGTCCAATAGCTCCAACCCCAGCGGCCCACCAAGCCCCAACTCCCCCCACCGAAGCCAGCTCCCGCTGGAAGGCCTGGAGCCGCCGGCTTGCGACGCCTGAGCCACCCACCGCCCACGCCGGGGCCCGTCAGTGCCAAGACCGAGCAGACCCTCGTGTAGTCCCCGAGGTGTGGATGGTGTATAGCTAGGAGACGCAGGAAGTCCGGACCAGAGCTCTGCCACAGTGCGCGTGCACGCCAGCCCCCTATGGGGCTAGGGCAGACCACCGCTTAGGAAGCAGCGATTCTGTGTCCACTGGAGGCACGCAGCTCGTCCATGAGCCCCACAGGAAGGGGAGGTTCCTTTGTGGCCTTTTCTTTATTCCGTCACCTCGGGGACCAGCGCCGCCCGCCAGCGTGCTGGCCACAGCGCCACCCACGTACACTACTCAAAGTCCGCTGTGTTCGGTCTCCCGCTCGTCTCGGCCTCTGCTGCTGGCCTGGAAGCTCGCCCCCTGGGCCTGGCTGGCACAGCACAGGCGGAAGCAGGTGCTGGGAGCCCCACCCTGTCCGCCCCCGCATGGAGACCCCGTGATTCGTCACCCAGAACCGATCACGTAGACTCACCCACACACTCCGAGTCCCAGCCTCAGCAGCAGTGACACCCACACATTCTCACCCCCTCCTGTCCCACACTCGGGCTTGTGGTCCTGTGTCATTAAAGGCTTGTCATTAACCGGCAGCGACTCTGCCTGTCGTCCCAGAGTCCTGAGCTGGACACATCCAGGCCAGCACCAAGTCGGGCTCCCTGCGCTCCCTGCGCTCCCTGCCCGACGGCCGGGGCTGGTACCTACTGGGTTACTCTGGTTTTTACTTTTTTAATGTAAGTCTGAGTCTTTGTAATTATTGAATCGTGAGGACGTTTTGAACAATTCACCTGTCAATAAAGAGGCAGACGGCAGTTTTCAAGTTCACGGGGACATGTCTTGGCATGTTGAGTGGGTGCCCGTCCCCATCCCCAGTGGAGCAGCTTTCCCTCAGAGTTGACCTATGCCCATGGGCTCGGGGTCACTAGCCCCTGGGGTCAGTCTGAAGTGATCTCCAGGCAGCTTGAGGTAGAGCAGCATCTCTGGGGTGTGGGGATGCTGTCGACGACAGTCTGCACATCACAGGGGACCCTGAGTCACCTGCTCTCATAGCTCCTAACAGCACATCCATCCTCCAGGGCCCAGCCCAGCGTCCTCCCTAAGCAGCATCGGGAGGGATGCGCCAGTGTTTGGGGCACGCTGGGGCGGCAGCTGCAGGTACATCCACCTGGAAGTGGATCGGCAGAGTGCCTTGCAGGGCAGGAGCAGAAAGTGACAAGTGAGCACCAGTTTTCAGAGTGAAACACTGGCAGTTGGAGCAGAATGAGAATCTGGTGGGGCCGTGGTTCAGCACTCAGCTGCAAACTGAAAATGTGGGCAGTTTGAATCTACCAACGGTTCGCAGGAAAAAAGACGTGGCAGTCTGTCCACAAAGCCCTACAGTCTCCACGTGGGGAAGCATGCGGGATGCGGCATCCTCCACCCGCAATCCAAGGTATGCGATTCAAATCCACCAGTCACTCCCTGGAAACCCTGTACAGCGGCGTTTCTGTGAGTCAGAACTGACTGCATTTAAACCACCAACTACAAGGTCGGCAGCCGTTCAAACTCACCAGCTGCTCTTTGAGAACCCTATTGTGTGCCGTGGTGTCGGTTCCGACCCATAGCGACCCTGAACAGGGTTTCCGAGGCCTGTAAATCTTTACGGGAGCAGAAGGCCTCATCTTTCTTCGGCGGAGCAGCTGATCGTTTCGAACTGCTGAATTTGAGGTTCGCAGCCCGATTCGTAACCACTACGCTACCAGAGCTCCTTTGAAACCCTTTACAGGGTTGCTATATGGTCCAAACAGACTGGATTGCATTTAACAACCACCACCAATTGAGTGCAGAAAGACACAAGCCACAAAGGGGCTGTGGGGAAACAGGCAAACTGACCCGATGTCAGAAGGTAGCTCTGGTCTATTAGGGACCGTTCACCTGTGTGTATACAGTTGTACGTGAACACAGATCCACTCCCAAACTGAGCACCACTCCCCCTGGTCACACACTCAACACCTGAGCCCAGAAGACCAGGTGTGAGCTGTCTTGGTATGAAGGGGCCAAGGTGGCTACCTCCTTCCCAACCCCCATGCCCAACACCTGCCTCCCATGCGTGTGGGGGGACAGCTTCTCCCACCAGGCTGGCTGTGCTCCCTAGGGATCAGCTTCCCCCTAGCCCCCCAGTTCTGGGTTCTATGTGGCACATAGGAAGCGGCTGCATATAGTCAGCCAGCCTCCCACCCCAGCCCTTCCAAGCAAGGGGTGAACTGTGACTGGTTTCCATGACGGCAGCGTTTACAGAAAGACCGTTTATTAGACAGGGCCGCCCGGTCCTTGGTCTCTAGTTGGGGGGCGGGAATGGAAGTTCCAGGAGGGGACAGGTTGGGCAGAGGGGCAGAGGGGCACAGTTCTTTCAAGCCTCTGCCTCATCGCCAGTGAATAGCGGGTTGACGAAGTAGCTGCGGCTGGTGTTTCTGGCGTCCGGGTGTGGGGCGCGGGGCTGGAGGGGGACACGCTGTCAGCAAGGCCGAGACCTGCCCGCCCACCGATCACCCACCATGTGCTCACCTGCTCCTCGCAGCCAGCGGAGCTCGCCAAGTCGAACACGGGGTTGTGGAAGCTTAAGGAAGGGCCTTCCGGTGCACGGGCCGCGTCCTCCCCATGCCTCCTCAACCTGGAGGAGGAATGGGGCACGTGAGCCTCTCCGACTCCCCACGCACACGGCGCACCTGAGCCCTCCCCCTCCCGGTGTGCCTAAATGCGCCCCCTACGGACGCAACGGTCCCCCCACCACGTACCTGAGCCTCCCTGAGCGTCGCAGCAGTAGGAACACTGTCAGAAACAGCACCAGCAGAACCACGGCGGCGACGCTGCCCACAATCCCCGCGCGGGACCCCAGCCCTTCCGGGCCCGCCGTGAAGCCGCCCCCAACGGGTGAGCTCAACTCGCGGACGGTCGCCGACACGACGCCGAGGGTCTCCCCTGGAACGCACTGCGCCCTCAGTGACCCCGCCGGGCGGGACTGGGGGCGGAGCCAAGGCTGGGCGGAGCCGGGTGGGGCGGGCGGTGCTCACCGTGCTCCGCGATGTCCGCCAAGATGTCCTGGACCAGCCGCGGGGCGCCGCCTGCCAGGGGACGGCCTTCCGCCAGCACCACCTGGATCTCCGTGTCGGGCCCCGGACCCGCTGCCTCCCAGACCCGCGACGCGCGCCGCACCTTGGAGACGGCCACCTGCAGTCCCTGGTACTGGGGCTAGGGAGGAGGGGACAGCGTTGACACGAGAACGCCTCTGCAGACCTGCATGGACGCCGAGGACAGGTGGGCAGAACAGCGATGGGGACTGTGGAGCCCGGCGAGGGTCGCGCACCCTTATGCCCAACGGGGCTGCAGAAGGGTCGGTGTGGGCACTGTTACCTGGAGAAGGAAGGTGCCCAGCAGCCGCTCCCGGTACTTCTCCAGATCAAAGGCGGCGCCATGGGTCAGCGACACGATGGCTCCTGCAGGGTAGGCAGGGTCAGCGTGGCCTCCTAGAGACAGGGTCTCCACCGAGAGGGCTCGGGGGGCTCACCGCACAGGTCACAGCACTGGCCCTCAGGCCGGAAAGCATTGCTGCAAGCAGCCGGAGGACAGCGGCCGTCCAAGGGCTGGAGCAGAGCTGCGCAGACCCACGGCAGCACCTAGGGAGGGGGCAGTCGGTGAGGTGGAGTCCAGACCGTGCCCCCCTCCTCTCTCTCCCACCTGGCCCTGACCGCTGACTTCATCATTGTCGCAGACGCAGCCCGACGGGTCGGCACAGGCCTCGGGGACCACGCGCAGCACGCCGGGGCCGTGGAAGCGCAGGCGACCAGCCCGGGACGCCAGGAAAGCGGCCAGGTCGTCGTCGCGCAGGAACGTCTGCGAGGCCAAGACCGGCAGGGCAAGGGGACACGTCAGAGTACGAACCCGGGCGCCCGGACCTCGGAGACCCAAGGGCACGCCAGGTCCCGCCTTACCCGGCCCAAGACTGACACGCTGCGCACGGTCCGAGCGCCACGACCCAGGCCCACACGGAAGGAGGCGGTCGCCGGGAAGACGACGTCGTCGTGTCGGCAGGGCACGCGCTCCGCATCCACGGAGAAGAGGCCGCGCGTAGTTTCCTGGGAGCGCCACAGGCGCGGGTCGTACCACGAAAATCGATCGGGGTCGCGGAAGAGCGCGGGGCCACCTATCGGGACAAATTCCTGAGCTCCACTTGGGGCTTGTTCTCTGCCAGAGACTCCAGGACACGCCTCCAGGAGCTCCGCCCGGACATGACCTCTTAGAGTCAGGCCTCTGACACGCCTCCTGGAAGCCCCGCCCCGATACTCTCCCTTGGAGTCAGGCCTCTGACACGCCTCCTGGAAGCCCCGCCCCGAT